AATAAATGGGCCATTAGTGTGAGGTTTTGTATTAATTTGACTAGGAGCTGGTCTGTGTTTAATGCTTGCTCTAGCTGTAGGTGTCAGAGGCTTCAATTTCCACTAGTGTCTTTGTTTGTTATCTCTGGGTTTCCATAAAAACACCTTTTTACATAGAATCTATACAAGCTCTTTCAGCTCTAACTTGCTGCACTTCACGGACACCCCTGGATGTGGTGGTAAAGTAGCAGTGAAACTGAAATTTTTGAGATGAAACTTGATTACTGGCTTCTGCCGGCGGGCGGGACAGGTGAGACTGGAGTTTCTCCACGGCTGCTGCAGGGTGGGGTCTGCATAAGGCTGCAGGTCTCTACAGCCAAGAATGCTGCAGTTCTTGATGGTGGGCTTGGTATGGACCCCAGCAGCTCACCATCAATTTCTTTTTCTTTCCAGGTTCTTATCTTCTGAATTTGAAGAATGAAATCCACAGATCAAGATGAGTGAGCGTAAGAGTAGGATTTATTGAAGAATAGACACAGGAACAGAACACTTGCAGGGAAAGGGGGACCCAAGAGCAGTTTTTCTCCATCAGAGTGTGCCAGTCTATAGGTTTACATAGCACTTGGGATCCTGCTAATGGTCCAAACTTAGGCTAAGTAGGGTTGGAAAAAAGTACCAGTGCTATTGGTTCAAACTTGTGCTAATTAGGATTTGGAAAAGTGAGCTACTGGTCAACTCTTGAGTCCCCACTTCCATTCAGGTCTGCCCAACTTCCACTTTCTCACTGCAGGTCAGGAGGTGGGAGGTTGAAGTTGTCAGATGGTCTATGCTTATGGGTTTTGAGCTGCAGCACTGCACGGAAAGTGAGTCTGAAGTAGGTGTCCATATCATGCCCAGGCCTGGCCAGCAAAGGCTGTGTGCCATGGCTTGCAGGACTTCAGGACCACCCTGCCTGCCTGGTGGCTTCAAGAGGCAGCAGGGCATGCTAGCTGCCTGGGCCCCAACTCACCCAGGCTGCCACTACACTGCTGCCCCTCAGGAGGAACTAGTAGGCCAGCTGTGTGGCTGCCAGGGCGCTGTGTCAGCAGGGGAATTCTGCTACCCCGTGTTTATGTCTCTTTTTGTCACTGGGCTATGACCGTCCCAGGTGTTTCTCAGTTTTTTGACACTGTTAGGCAACATAGGAAGGCTCGAGGAAGGTGGGGTGGGTAATCTCTCTCCCTTAGCACTGCGCAAGTTTCTGGTGAAATCTTTTTCCCTTGTGTTATTGGCCTTTTTATGAAGAGATTCTGTTCTAATTCAAAATGGTCACTTGCCAGAAATACTAGGGTTCCTCTTGGGTTTTTACTATGAGAACCCGGTAGGGATCCTGGAATTAACATTTATGAAAATGTGGGGTTCCCCTAAGACTGCGGCCCCCAAGAGCTTCTCCATTCTTGCACTAGACTACACTCCATGTTCAGCAATTCTCGAAGTCCCTACAAGTCTATGGCTCTGATGGCTTTTGCTCCCAGGGAGCAGATCTTACCTGCATTCACCTATTTCTGTACATTTTAAGGTGATGGTTTTCCTTGTGATCTCAATTCTCTGACAGGTTCAGGGAAAGTTTTTCATATTTGGTTTATTCAAAATTTTCCTTCTATTGTGGGAGTGATGACCAAGTTTTTCACATGTTGGAGCTGAAACCAGAAATCCTTCCGATTTTTTTCACATTCTATCATTTTAAATACCAGGAAACTGAGGCTTGCTGTGGTTAAAGGAGTAGCTAGAGTCTTCAGCTCCTAAGCCAGCACTTTTCCCTTCGTCATCTTGCTTCTTAACATCTCATAAAAGCAATCTAGGGAACTGGCTTCAGAAAAAGCATTTGAAAGCATTCAGAATCAACAAGTGGTACTAAACACTCAGGATGTGTCAATCACCATGCTAGAAATTCTCATAAGGAAATATTTCTGAGTTGTGAAATCTTATCTTTCTGCAAGACAAATCCTTACCTTAAGTACCTGAACTTTGCAGATAAGGAAATCATGGCTCAGAGATATTTAAGGAGCTTGTCTTTGATATAAGAGCAAATAACAAATGGGGTTGGCATTGAGTCTTCTCTCTGCAACTAACGGTTATATGACTTGGGCCAACTTATTTAAATTCTCTGAGCTATACTGCACAAAAGAGGATAGAATACTAATTACCACTCTAGATAACTAAGATACAAATAGCACTTATCATGGCTCTAGTACCAATTTGTTTAAAAATTTATAATATAGTATAATTTATATGTTATTATAGTAATAACTAATAATTATTATGAGTGTTATTATAATTAATATGATATATATTGATATGTTACTAAAAATAGATGAGGGTTACAATATCAAATCATGGAAATAAACTTTATTATATGGCCCCTCATGAATAGAGTGCAAAACTGCATGAATCATAAATGTGTTCAGAGTTCTCAGCAGGGCTGGTAGGTCCCACATAATCTTAGGTGCCAAGAGAAATAGTTTAAGAGCTGGATGAGCTTTTAGGCCAGCATTTGTGGAAATATGTCCATCAAAATCCGGCCCAAAGACATTAAATTGGTTAGTACATTTGGTCAGCTTTTAAAAAAATATTGTTCAGGAAGAGTACAATAACAAAAACAGTGTTAGAATAAGCTCTTGGTGCTTTGAGAACCGTTTCCAACTCAAATGGTTGCAGATGTCACTGAGAGTCCCTGAAATGGCTGTGTTTGATGCCTGGCTCTGGAGGTGAATTTCCAAGAAGGGATGCAAAACACAGGTTCAAGTCAAGGCTCCATCCTGGGAAAGCTTGGCCTCACATACTGGCTCTCAACTTGAGCAACAAGGATCAGCAGAGACATGCAGAGGCAAGAGGCTGCTCAACTTATTACTAACAGATTGATGGGGGTTACAATATCAAATCATGGAAATAAGCTTCACTATCTGACCCCATCAGATGGGCTGATGGACAAAGGAGTCGAAAACATCCCAGAGTCTGACCAAGTCTCTAAGCTAACCTAGCAGGGTCCCATCAGGGCCACCATGAGACCCAAATCTGTCCTTGACGATTATGGGAGCATCTTTCTGTAGGCCCCCGTCTTTGTCAAAGTGCTAGACATCATCATCTCAAGAGAGGCCATGATCACAGTCACTTGGTCATCTCCATGGTGATCCTTAGGACCACAGAGTCCTCTGGGTAGCCATAAAACAGGAGCTGTGCAATAAAGGGAGACAAGAACAGCAATACTGGGGAGAAAACCTGGGGTGACTGAGGGGGTCCGGGAGGCTGTCCAAGCAGTGTCTGTGGAGAGACATTTCAGGTGGCAGAGGTTGCAAGTGACAACGGGAAATGACTCACATGCTCCAGCCAACTGTTGTGATCAGGCTCCAAAATGTCAGCCTGGGTCCAGCATAGGCTGAATCAGCTAGGGTCAGGCCCAGCAATGGCCATATGTGTTCATAGGGGTCTTGACTGCTGGGCACATCTATCTGGGGTCAGGTGTGAGGCCAGTGTGTGAGTTTTACACTTACTGGTGTAATGACACATCCTTAGAGTTGACACGGGAACAATTTCTTCAAACACAAGACAAGGACAGAGGCTTTTTGTCTGCCACTCAAATGTCTTCAAATAAAAATGGCAGAGGTACTTGGCACCATTAAGTTACCGGCTCATGTGGCCTTGTTTCTTTCCGAGGGAAGGAGCTTCCAAGGCAAAACCCACACCTGTTACCATGGAAGCCAAACTTTCTTTTCTATACCTAATCTAGAGATAGTTATCACTTAAAAAGAGAAGATAGAATACAGCTATGAACTAATTTCTTAGGAATCCAGTTTCTTTTTACATAAGGATTTTAGAAATTGAATCTTAGTTATTTTGAAGGTATAGAAACTATAATTAAGATATATTTAAAGACCTTCTCTTTGATATGAGAATGAATAACTAGCAAGGTTTGATTCTAGTCTGATTCATTTAAAAATATCAGTCAAGTACAATATAAAGGGTGATTAATAGACATGACAATAGTGATATGGCAGAAAACCATGTCTTTGTTCTAAAAAGAACAAAATGAGATTCTTTTTCTTTAAAATTTCCCAAACTGAAATATTATACAGTATTGAGAATTCTTTTAAACCCTGTACTATACAAGAAATAATGTTTAGATGGGTAAAAATACATAAAATCCTAGTCTGGGCTAAGACTTCATATTTTATAGGAAGTCTTATATGCTCAAAGAGTGGTCTCAGAATCAGCGGTGGCAGCATCAGCACCACCTTTGAACTTGTTAGACATGTAAATTATTGAATCAGAAACTCTGGGAGTGGGACCTATGTGATTCCCAGGCACCCTAAGAACCACTGCAATGACAAGGTCTCAGGTCCAGCAAGGACCAGAGTATGACTCTAAGCCCTGAAATGGGAAAGTTCCAGTAGACATGCTCCATATCACAGGGATTGTCCTGTGATAATGAGATACTTCTCTGTGTTGTTGAGGTGTTTGCTGTGGACACATTTCCATGGATATGCATAAAGGTAAGACAGCTGCTGATATTTATTTATGACTACTTATTGACTGCTAATGAAGCAACATGAGACAGCCTCAACCTTTTGTTTCTGCTATCCCCAATCTTTCTTTGCTTTAGTCATTGGCAGAACTCATTCATACACAAAAGGAAAATTGGTTTACTTAAAGCAGGCTGTCACAGCCTTGCCACGATTGACATTTGGGCTAGATCATTTCTGTACTGGGGAGCCGCCCTCCATCGTAGGAAGTTGACCAGCATCCTTGGACTCTACCCACCAGATCTCAGTAGCAGTTCCCCTCCTCGTCCATCCTGATACCCCAACTAAATCATGACAATCCAGAATGTTTCCAGACATTGTCAAAGATCTCTTGGGGACAGAATTGTACCTGCTTGAGAACCACTGATTTAAGCCAAAGCAGTAAGGACACAAAGTGGTCACAAAGGAGCAACGTGGCAATGAGAAGCTGAAGTGGGCTTCCAGCAGCCAGGGGTGACTCACATTGTAGGATCGGCCATGCCTCTGTCTCCACTGCACCAGCACTACCTGGGCGACAACCAGGGTGCAGAGGAAGATCAAGATCATCTCCACGTGCATGGACTCGTGGCCACGGTGCATCTTGTACATCCTCTCCTGCTGCAGACTGTAACCAGCAAATGAGGTCATCTGAAAAAGCCCTCAACCTTTGCACATTTAGCGAAAGAGAAAATAACAGGTTGGGCTCATAGGAAGAGGAGGATTGAAAAAGCAGGTAGTAAGCTTTGATCACAACGCTTCTCTTTATTTCTCCCCTTCCCCTTAGGTTTGGGAAAAGGACAGCAGATTCTATCAGCAAAACCAGTTCCTCTCAGTCCTTTGCCTCCCCCATGTGATTTTGAGTTCACTTTTTTTTTTTCTTTCCAAATTAAGTAATGAAGCCGAGAAGCAAGATGGGCACTGGGAAGACAGGTTCCAGTCCCTGATGGGCCACTTCATGGACCCATAATCTTGGAAAGTCATTTATCCTCAGTTTCCTCATCTATAAATTTAAGATAATCCCTTCGTACCTCATGGTACTTATGATGTAAGCACATGTTATTTGTAGCTGTATCAGGAAAAATATATATATTAGGCTGAGTCATATGAAACTGCCATTTTTTGAAAGTCAAAAGCAGTAGAATGTTGGTAATTTCCACCATTTTTGATAAAAGGATATCCTGCAGAAGGAGCCTATGCCCAAAAGGGAGTATATTATCCATGGGGAAATGAAAGCTCCAGAGTGAGCTTGTTGTATAAATTATTATACAACTATTATAGGAAGGAAGAATAGGCCTGAGCATTTTCTTAGATGAGCACAAACATTCAGATGATAGTTGGACTTTCAATTTTTAGCTGAACACTTAATTTTTTCACAGTGACCGAGAAAACCACTAAAATGATATGGCATCTGGTTTGGAGCCCTAGAATAGAAGTGACTTTGAAGAAAACCTATAGCAGTGGTTCTTGACCTTTGCTGCCAGTTAAAATCATTAGAAAGTTTTATAAACCCCAGTGCCCGTGCAGTACCCCAAATCATTTAAGTGATCTTTGCTGGGTATTAGGAGCAGGATTGTGTCTTCCACCTCCAGGATTCATCCCTGGTGTGTCACCTTGCCAGCCCAAACTCACCAACACCTTGATCTTGGACTTCAAGCCTACAGAACTATGACAAAGTAAGTTTCTGTTGTTGAAGCCTGCCAGGCTGTTCCGTATTGTCATGGCAGCCCTGGCAAACTAATACAGATGACCACGATGGTAGCTAGCCATTGGTAATCAATTTTTAAAAATTTAAATTGAATTTATTTTGAACTGATACATAAAAACATAAAAATATGCAGATTAATGGAGCATCATGTGATGTTTTGATACATGTATACACAGTCTAACGTTTAAGGCATCAGTCATTTTTAAAGCTTTTCATGTGATTTTAAGGGGCAGCCAAGATTGAGAGCCACTGGCCTAGAGGAAGAGAGAGGCCCAGATTAAACACAGAGAAAGGGGGAAATTGACAAATGCTGCCAATTGCTTAGCATTCTCTCACCAGCAGCAGGGCAACACCATTAATCACAAAATCTCTTAAAGTGAAGTTTCCATTTAGGATTGGTTACAGTATGCAGTTAGCTAGTGTTTCAATCAGAAAACGCTGCAAGGGAATATTCTGTGCCAAAACGCTGATTTTTTTTTTTTTTTAAAGGCACTTGATGGGTATGTTCCAGCATTTCTATACAGTCTGGAAGTACCCATCAGAAAAGGGCCCCATGCAAATCCCAGGGGTGCCCCCTGCTGGTGAAGACATAGAAATGAACCAGTAAATATTCCTGCTTCACTTCAGCTTCTTGGAGATGGACTCTTTGAATAAAGTTACTGTGGGGAGGCATAAACAGGCGGACTGAAAGCCTTTCATTGATCAAGAGAAGAAGCTGGAGTCTAGATCAGAGAATCGACTTGAATAAAATTACATGACTTTTAGTTACTGTTGAAAGCGGCACTCAGGAGACAGGAATGATTTCTAGAAGCTCATACAAAAGAAAAAACTCATTTGTCTCTCAGAAGAAAAGAAAGTGAAGAAAAATGAAAAGGGTACCAGAGGTTAGTTATGATTTTTACACACACAAATCCGAAATAAATATTTAATATTCTGTGTAATTAATGGACTTCCAACTTAGGCTATGAAGATATAGGAGTGAATTCATTGTTGATAGAGAATATCACTTGCACAGACAGAAAACAAAATATGCTTTATGATATTAATTCATTTTGTATATATATACATACAAACATACATACACATTGAAAGCACCTAGAAAATGGATTAACCTATGTGGAAGAACTTTCAAGATCACAAATTGATATACAATGTAATAAGTATTTCCAGTTTTGAGTAAGGATACATTCAATTGATCACTATAAGACAAAAAAGGGAAGAAATCTTCATTTCTCCTCTTTTTGTGGTGCTCACAGTGTCCAAGAGTCCCATTGTAGGTCCCAGCACATAGAGAAATTCATATGTTTTATGTGCCTAAAATAAACAGCCACTTGATACTGCCATATTTTGAAGAATATGTTAATCCAGCTTTGTGGGATTGCATGGATCACACTAGCAAACACATGAAATCCGTGCAGATTTGGTTTGAAGTACCTTTTTGCTGTAGCTACACAGTTTCCTCATTCCACCTTCTTTATCCCAGGAAATATACAAATGAACTGATGACTTCATTGAGTTTCTCAAACTGTTAAGATGCGAATCTAATTTTTAATAAAGCGATTATAAAAAAATACTGATCACTTACTTCCACTCATCATCCGCAGAAAGCTTTGTGTGAGAGATCTGAAAAACATGAAAAACACCCTTGTTAAAAAAAAATCTCACTTTCTTAGCTTTTATTTTATAGCTTATATTTTAGAGCATTCTACAAGAAACCCAAACTATTAAAAACAGCAGTGTTCCCTGGGACTGGAATAATTTAGAATGAAAATCCTAATAAAATAAAAATAAATATTACAGGGTACACACAGGGTAGCATGTATCCAAACATCACATTACCCCATTAATGTGGACATTTATATTTTATGTACCAGTTCAAAAAAAATCTAATTTAAATTTTAAAAAATTACTGAAGGCTGGTTCCCAATCTGGAAATCTGTATTAGTTTGCTAGGGCTGCCATGACCTTATGGCACAGACTGGGTGGCTTAAATGACAGAAACTCATTTTGTCATAGTTCTGGTGGCTTGAGGTCCAAGATCAAGGTGTCGGTGAGTTTGGGTTGGCAGGGTGAAGTACTAGGGAGGAAGCCTTTAACAGGTGAGTTCTGGGGCTGTTATAAAACTGAAACAAAACAAACAAATGAATAACAAGAACAAAACTCCAGAGATCAAGTCACCACTGATAAATATTTGATTCTGCTCCTAAGTCAGAGAACCAGATGTGGTTCCATTCCTGCCCTTGTGCTTTGGCAGATCACTGAAGGTCACAGAGAGTGGCCTCCCCTATCACAGGGACCGCCACTCCGGTTCCTAGGCTGTGGTGTATGAATCCAGTATCCCTAAAACCAATCTGTTTTGCTGGTATCTTAAATGATGCCAGTTAGGGAATTTGGCTCCAAGGTCAAGGCTTTAGAGGCTAAACGGACCACAGGCTCCTGTGTCCTGGAAAATGAAGCATCATTTAAGAAGGGTTACTGTGGCCCTTGCAGATTGAGCAGGCATCAGAGAGACCTTTCCCAAGACAGAGTCCATTCATGGGCTGCTTTCCTTTGGTTACTGCTAACTTACCATATTTGGTTATTTGAGGTCTTGGACACTAGTCACCAGAAAGACATAATCTTACAACTTTCACAGAGACCACAGACCACCTAACCCCTCGTCCAGCAATGTTAAAAGACACTCTTTCAAAGCCCAAATCCCCAGTGATGGCAAAGAAAAGGGAAAGCAAATAAAATATCTGTTAAACAAATCTGATATTAGCCAGATCTTCTCCCCTCTGTTTTCTTCTTCAAATGGTGTAAGCCATCCGGGCAGAGAGAAAGAAACAAATGCCATCCACGGTTTACTCTAGGATCTGTCTGATTGGAGATACACTGGCTCCTCGGGAACATCTATGCTTCTGCCACAGGCATGAAGCATTCCCTTATAAAACAGAACAAGGCTTCGGATGACATGGATGAGAGTCACAGACAGGCTTAGGAGGGATCGGTACAATGCCAGGAAAACAGGACAGAGGTGGTGCTGTGACCGAGGCTGGCAGCTTCTCCATGGCTCCCTACCCACGTGGTGGTCACAGCAGCCAGACTCAAGTGCCAAGTTCCATCAGTAAAGCAACCTTCAGGTAATAGTTGTACCTGAATACCCTTCTTGGTTTGAGAGGCCCTTCTCTGCTGACTCTGCTCTTTAGGAGAAAACACTAGATGGGTTTGGAGCCTTGAGACATGCAGCTACCCAGCACCACCCACCACCACTGAGCTGGCTAGTTCCTTGAATAACAACCTTGGGCACATCACTAATCTATGTTTGTCTCCAGATACTGGATATTGATATAGTAATATCAATATCATTGCAATATTAGGAGCATAAATGAGATTATACGAGAGTTTTGTAGAAAAGTGCTTAAACCAAGGGTTGATGATCTTAATAAAAGTTATAACCTTCAGGACTCTTTTCTTTTTGTTGTTTGAAGTTCACAGTGCTTGGTATTGAAATTATGGGACTGGGTTTTTAGTTTCCTTAAGAGAAAAATTCCATTTGTATCTTACTAGTAAAATAGCCCTGGATATAACTGTCTCCAACTATCCATCAGATTGTTAAGTCACTTTTTAAAAAATATTTATTTATTTATGTTTAGTTGTAGTTGGACACGATACCTTTATTCCATTCATTTATGTGGTGCTGAGGATTGACCCCAGGGCCTCGCACCTGCCAGGTGAGTGTTCTACCGCTGAGCCAGAACCCCAGCTCTGTAAGTCACTTTTAAGGAAGTGTGATAAGTTATTCTTTTGAAAAGGAGAAAAGTTTTAGAGGTGGAAATTGTAACCTGAAATTTTTCTTTTTTTGTTAACTAAAAGTAGGGACTTCCTTAGGTAAAGTGATATTGAAAACCTATTTCTTAGAGAATAAGTGAATTAGGATGACAGTACTGATGTTGGTGTTGGTGATGATGATGATATTCTTAGAGACGTCTCTTGTCTAGTTATAGTCCCCAAGAGTACAGCATTTTCCCCTATGGAGGGGTTCTAATTTTGGGGAAATGTTTTGTGACATATGATTTTACAAGTCCATTGGAAATCCTATGAGGATTTACTTTGGAAATGAAAATGACACTCAAATTCATCTGGAAATATAGCATATAAGGATAGCAGGGAACATTTAGAAGAATAAAGCCTAGAGCCTCGGTTTATCAGACTCTGCAATCCAGAATAAAGGTCACAGAAATCAAGTGAAAGCAGAAGATGAATGAACAGCACACAGAGTCCAAGAATAGACTCAACTGCACATGATGCCGAAGTCACTTCAAATCAATGAAGAAAAGTATACTGTTCATTAAATGGTGTCAGGACAACTGGCTAGGCATTTGGGAAAAACAAAGCTGGATCCACCCATATCTCATTCCTTGCTTCAAAATAAATTTCAGATGGATCAAATATTTAAATGTAAGGAAAAAAAATCTTAAAAGCACTAGAAGAAAATATGGGTAAACATTTTCATGATATTGCAGTGGAGAAGGCATTTCTAAGTATGATGTAGAGCCCAGAAATGATAAAGTAAAACAATAAACAGATTTCAAGGACATAAAAGTTGAAAGACAAATTAAACTGGGGAAAATATGACCTATGTGAGAAGCAGAAAGTTAATAAATTAAATATAAAAAGAGCTTTTTACAGTATAATAAGAAAAACATTTCCAAGGACAAAGTACTTGAATAAGAAATTTACAAAAGAAATATAAATAACCAATATATTTATGGAAAGATGTTTAAGCTTACTAATAACTGTGATTTTAAAAAAAAGCAAGTGAAAACAAGATCTTCCAGTGAAACATGGTAAATTGATATGGTTTAAATATGAAGTGTCCCCCCAAAAGCTCCTGTGTTAATGCAGGTATGTTCAGAAGTGAAATGATTGGATTATGATAGCTGTAATCTAACAGAGGATTGATGGGTTAATAATTTGAATGGAATTCTGTGTGGCAACTATAGACGGAAACAGGTAGGGAATAGCCAAAAGAAGTAGACCATTGGGACATGCCCTCAGGGATTATATCTTGTCCCTTAGTTGGTCTGTCAGTCTGTCTGTCTCTCTCTAGTTACCATGAGCTGAGCAATGTTCCTCTACCACATCCTTCCATCAAGGTGTTGTGTCTCACCTTGGGCCCAGAGTAACGCAGTCTGCTGACCATGAACTGAACCTCTGACACTTGGCCAAAATATACTTTTCCTTCTCTAAGTTGTTCTTGACAGGTATTTTGTTCACAGTGACAAAAACCTAACTAACACAGAAACTAAATATATGCATTTACCTCCTTTCCTTCCTCAAACACCACTAGAATGACTGCAAAAGAATAAAAATTTTAACATAAACCTCCAAGTACAAGAGGAGGCGAGGAGTCTAAGCAATCAGTTTTGGAAACTGGAAAGCAGACGGTCTGTGGACAGTGACTGTGAGCAGAGGACGCTGGCACATGCTGGCAGCAGGAGGTGCAAGGGAGAACCAATCATGCCAAGAACTTCAGGAAGGCAGAGGGATTGCAGGACTTCTGGAAGCAGGTTCATGTGGGATTGATGACAAAGTGCATCCGTGAATCAGTGTAAAGTCCCCACGCTGGCAGACTGCCAATGGTCAAACCTGAGCATGGGACTCAGAGGTGCCTGGCATGCAGAGAGGGCAGATGGCACCAGAAGTCCTCCTCTAAACCGAGAGAACCTAGCTCAGTCCTCTGTGGCAGCATCATCCCTGACCAGGCTGCCAGGTTCCGCCCTGCTGTAGAAGACAGACCCAGAAACACAAAATAATGTGAATTTTGTTTATCTTAGTCTTTTTTGTGTCTTAACATTTCAAATGTTTGGTAACTGAGTGAGTAGAAATTAGAAGTGATGGACGGATGATACCCCAGGGGAACTGGGATGGGGAAGGGGAGAATACGCTGTGCTCTGTTAAATGAAAGAGAGAAAGAGTTTTAAAATTTAACAACTCCAAACCATCCAAAGTGTATATTTAGTAAGACCAGGCTGTCCCCCCAACAGCACGCCTCTCTTCCCTCCTCAGCAGTGGGGTAGTCTGGGAGCAGCTCAGAACGGCCTGGAAATGCTGAGTCTGAAAAGGAGGTGTGTGGCAGAGATCCTACCTGCCATGGGTTCCCTGGGAGTCAACAGAAAGTCAGTCCTTATCCCTGCTTTAGGCACTAGAGTGGGCTGAACTATGTCCCACCCCCAAAGATATATTTGAATCCTAACCCTCATTACCTTATTTGGAAATAGGGTCTTTGCAGATATAATTAAGGATCTCAGGATGAGATCATCCTGGATTCAGGGTGGACCCTAATTCCAAAAGACTGGCTTCCTTGTAAGACAAAGGAGTGGGCCATATGCTATCCAGAGACACACAGACCCAGACAGAGTGAAGTCCGCATGAAGAGACATGCAGAGAACGGAGTGATGCAACCATAAGCCAACAACACCTGACGCCCCCAAAGCTGGAGGCGGCAGCTTTGTTTTCTCTACAGTCAGGGTCCTGCCAATATCCACACTTTGACCTCCAGAACTGTGTGAAATTTCTGTTGTACGGTAGCCCTAGAAAACTAATACAGGCATGTTCAAACTTCTATCCTCTCAGTTCCT